TATAGCTTACACATTTACCATTATCTGGGATTTTGCTGAACTGTAACATTATACAGTATGTGACAGTCGGGTGCTGTAACGGCAGCCAACCACTCATTTCTGCACAGCAGGATGAACCGCGCAACTGGACAGAATGAACTCTTCAGCGAACCTCCGCTCTAACACTGTGGGAGGTGACCAGACGCGCCTCTCTGCGATGCTCCTTTGACGTGCTGATTTGTAGTGACGTGAAGTGTACATTCAGACAATGTTGCTTTTGGATTTTCATAGCATGCGAGTAAATCCCCTGCAAATTCACCCGATACAGCGACGAGCTGCATGGCTTTGAGGTAGACATCATAGCTGTCGTGCTGATTTCGAACTTATATGATTTCAAATCACAATACGACCGTTCAATACTGGTCCTCAATTTAGTGTCCCATACTGCGACGGCACTATTACTCATAGTTCTCATAGTTACGTGTAGCGCCTAAGAATGGCAAACAACTTTCGACTATTTTCGCGCTTTGAGAATTTCATCTTCATTTTTTTCGAAAAACTGACATGGATAGCTTTTTCGCAACAGGAAAATTAAGAAGAGAAAATCAGAGAATGCTCCAAAAATTTCTTGTCTTGTTTCTCTCTCTCAGAAAGTAATGCTCGCGTCTCGCATGTTATATCTGTAAAAACTGATCTTCAAGATTTTCGATTTCAGCCTGACCATTTCAATGCTCCTTTCTTCTGTGATGGCTGGTTGGCTAACTGGTGAAGTGGTTGAAAAAATAGCAGGATTAGCGGAAAAAGTGGGGACTGGCGGCGGAATAAGGGCAGGAAAATGAGTTGCTTCTAAGGTTTTAGCTAGTGCCGGTAGGTCGACCACCGGATTCCTGAGAGCTTTTAAGATCACCCTCCATGTCGGTCTCGGCTGCACTTGCTGCAAAAACCTGATCAGAACTTTCAGGAGGTACTTGTCGGGCGGCAAGTCTTTGGAGTGGATGGCCTCCACGACGTGTTGCGGGAGTTTCAACTTGAGCCCCAGCTCGTAGGACTTGGTCTGTGCCGGCAGTAGCTCCTCCAACACGTCCACCGCATCGTCTGGTGTTAGCGTGCCGCCACCTGCTGGGGCTGCATCGGCGTAAAATCCTCGTAAGCTTCTCTCATAGCTAGGCTAGCAATGTTATGTATATACGGTTTTTACCTTCGGCCATGACGACCTCGCCCTCACTCAGACCGCTTACAAATGAGGGGCGGGGCTATCGAGCGTGGGGCCGGGCCGGGGCTGGGCGTAGGTGGCACTTCAGCAAAGCACAATCATGGGTGGGTAGCTAGAGGTGTATATGATAGTGAGGTAAGAGAGAAAGGTCAATGTTGGTCTCCAATAGTCTGGATAGCTCCTCTGACAGCAGGTCGTGGAGGAGCACTCCATCATGACTGTACACCCACTGGTGCCAAGTCAGACGACCTGTCTCTTTTTTTCCAGTAGTGCACCCTTGAGACAGTGAGTGCATGAAATCTAGATAAATTCTACATGTTAGAAGCTTAAAGGGATAGAACAAAACAATAGGGGCAAACTGAAAGAATGCAATTGAGTTCCGCTTTTAGAAAAATTTCTAAATTTAGCCCTTCTATTCAGCCACATTCCCTTTAAAGGCCTATAGCTACACAGCAATAGTGCTACAGGCTTCTAAAGTGTGTGAATTTTGTAGGCGAGATGCCTTCACATGCACCTTATTTTCATGAGTATGAGGTTTGACAACTACTTATTTTCCATAAAAGAAGCTTGGCCAAACCATTGCTTGTGAAGACATATTGTATCAGGCACCAAACTTAGGTTCCCTCCCTTTACTCCCCCCTCCTCCCCCTCCCCCCTCAGGTGAAGTCGAGGGACCATGAATTTGACAGTATCCCCCACCTGGTGGACTATTTCACATCTCGAGACGTCCCTCTGGTCATCGGGAAGAGCCAAGTCTTCCTCAGACGACCTGTCGTTAATGCATACCCCACAGGGGGCAGTGGGCGTGGTCAATGACATCACCCACACTGTCTCTCTGTCCTCCGTTGTTGGTCTCCATGTCTTGTGTCCTCCTTTTTTACTTTGTCTTGTTTTTTTACTGTCGTATAATTATATGGTGTATCTTGTATCATGTGAACTTTTTGTATTACTACATATGTGTATGTACACGTTATGGTTTATTAATATATTCTCCACAGTCTCCATGAAAAAACCATTTGTTCTAACAGCACAAAAGAATGGCGAATGGCATCATTATCTACCCTGCACAATGGTCTTGATCGATCATGACATAATGTGTATACGAAGTCAAAAATCTTTGAAAAGGTCACCATAATCCTTGGGAGGACCTTCACAGAGAGGGAAGAAGAGGATGAGAGAGGGCAAAGATCAGGAGTAGAGTGGTATATACCTATCGTGGAGGTTCAGTCGGGTTTCGAGCAGTAAACTCCTCAAAGTAGTCAGTACTTGTCTCTGACTTGATGATGGGGACAAAGGGAGGAGTGATCCTCTTGCTGTAGACATCGTCCCAGTTGATGGACTTGAAGAACACGTGAGACTTGACCTCCTCTGCATCTCCTTCTCCTCCACCCAGTCTGTAAACAACCTCAGTTAGTAACCTCTTCCTTCTATGTCTGAAACCAACCTTTTGCTCGGGTCTTTCTGAAGTAGTCCTCCGAGTAGAGACTTGCTCTCCAGTGACAGTCTTGCTGGAAACTTTACCTCTTCCTGTAGGACAGCAACACACTCCAACATCTCCTACCCTTCTCCCCCTGACTTACCACTAAAATGAGCTCAAAAAGGACCTCATGGTCTCGGGAATAAAATGGGAATCGCCCACACATCATCTCATACATAACCACACCCACTCCCCACCAATCCACTGCCCGTCCATAGTGATTGTCTTCTAGCACCTGGGGTCAAAGTTTATTCATCACACGATGGCAAAAGAGACCACACTCACTTCAGGAGCCATGTACTCTGGAGAACCACAGAAGGTTCTAGTGGTGTCTCCAAAGTAGATTCCTTGTTTGCAGAGTCCAAAGTCTATGATCTTGATGTGTCCCCTCTCATCCAACATCAGGTTCTCCAGCTGTCGTTGAAGTCAATAGGTTATAGGGATGAAGTAGGTAATGAGTTATGCAAACCTTCATGTTTCGGTAGACCACTCCTATGCTGTGGAGGTACTGGATTCCCAGAATTATCTCAGCTCCATAGAACCTGGTGCGGTCCTCTGAGAATACTCTATCTCTGGACAGATGGTAGAAGAGGTCTCCTCCTCGTACGTACTCTGTCACTAAACACAACCGGTCAGGTGTCTGGAATGAGTACTTGAGACTCTGGAGAGAGAGGGAGGGAGACAGGTAGCTAGTGTGAATGTGGAGGAGTGTACTGTACCGTGAGGAAAGGATGAGATGATGTCATCTGGAGAACTTTTCTCTCTGTTATAGTGTGGGTGATCTCATCTTTGCCCACTAACGTACCCTTCTTGAGTATCTTCATGGCCAGTATCTCTCCTGTTGCCTTCTCCTTACACATCATTACCTGCAGAAAAACAAGAGAGCTAACCAACAGTGGATGTAGACCTAACTTTACCTTTGCATATGTCCCTTTGCCTAGAACCACAAGGAACTCAAAGTCCTTTATTGTCTACAAGAAAGAGGAGAGCGAGGGGCTTCAAGAACACAAACCATAATACAGTTTATACCTTGACAGTGTGTGAGTCAGAAGAAACTGGAGCCGTAGACTTGGACCTGGGCTTTGGAATGGAGGCGGGGCGGAGGGAGGGGGGAGGGAAGGCGGAAAGGTAGGAGGGAGGGAGAGGGGGTGGTTGCTGCACCTCCCTGAAATTGCACAATTACAGTACACACAAGTAAAAAACACAAGCTAAAACAGACCTTTTCCTATCTGGTCTGGTTGCCTCATCACCAGCTATTGGCAAACTGCTCTCCAGCAGCATATTCTTTACTTGCTGGGCTAATTCCATCTCCCGTACCGTTGGTGATTCAAGAACCTTTACCACTTTCTCTAACACAGATTTTTTGAGATTCAGTTGATGACATGATTCACATTTGTCTATGGAAGACAGCAACTATAATACAACCATACACTACAACTATCACTTACTTGCTGCATGAGTGACACTTGCATAGGTATAAGTACCTGTTGCAGTAAGATTGATACGTACAGTGAATTATGTCTCATTATACCACGATTTGTACTTACGTTCTCTTGATATGCGACTTGCATATACAGCTTCTTTTACTTCACCTCTTTTAAGTGGTGTATACATAGATTCTTCTTCTCTGCTGGGAATGGTTAAAACAATAGGGCTATCATGCTGTTCATATGAACCATGTACACACTATTGAAGTTGTAATAGGATATAATACTAGCTATGTGTGTTTCATGCAAAATACCATTATCTGAGATCTTCACAACTGTGACATCAGTCTGGTAGGTGTTGTTGGTAATGGCATCGAAGACCATCTGTGAGCAGTCAGGATGTACCCTCAACTGCACCACTACCGATCCTTTAGCGACACTCTCCATATAAAGACAGTGGGAGTAAACGGATGCCTTTTCCGCAATGCTTTCCTTTAGCTGTCGGATCTCATGCATTGTGCACACGGATGTTGGCTTATTGATTTTCACGGCCATTTGAATGAACCCCTGGCAGACGTCGCTATCTGGAAGAGCTGAAATGGCATGAAGGTAGACGGCAACTGTTGTGCCAGTTTCAAATTTCTTTATCGAATCACAGTACATCATGATTTTCCCCTTTAATTTAGCATCACCGAATCTTTTGACGATATGCACGATTATCTCATAGTTGGAATAGTTGCAGTAACGGCCAATTATGGCAAACAAACTTTGAATATTTTTAGCTTTCAGGATTTCATCTTCATTCTGATGAAAAAATTTTACATGAACAACTTTCTTTGCAACAGGAAGGTTAAGAAGAAAAGCAGAGAAGCTCTGCAGAAAGTTTTTATCTTGCTGCTCTCTATCAGAAAGCGCTGCTCGTGTTTCGCACGTGAGCTGTAAAAACCTATCTTCAAGATTTTCTATTTCATCCTCAATACTCGCCGGGGACACAGAGGTTGCAGAAGAACGAACAGGGCCTAGAAAATGAGCAGCTTCCACCGTGTTAGCTAGTGCCGGTAGGTCGACCACTTGACTTCTCAGAGCCTTCACAATCACCCTCCATGTCGGTCTGGGCTCTACTTGGTTGGTAAACTCGATCATAACGTGGAGAAGGTGATTGCGTGGCTTGGAATATGTACCATGGATGGCCTCCACGACGTGTGGTTTGAGTTTCAACTTGAGCCCCAGCTCGTAGGACTTGGTCTGTGCTGGCAGTAGCTCCTCCAACACGTCCACCGCATCGTCTGGTGTTAGCGTGTCGCCACCTGCTGGGGCTGCATCGACGTAAAATCCTCGTAAGCTTCTCTCCTAGCTAGGCTAGCAATGTTATGTACGCTTTTACCTTCGGCCATGAAGACGACGACCTCGCCCCTGCACTCAGACCGATTTACAAAAGAGGGGCGGGGCTGGGCGTTGGTGAATGCACTGTTTCAGCAAAACGCAATCGATATAATTATGCTAGAGGTGTATATGATAGTGAGGTAAGAGAGAGAGGTCAATGTTGGTGTCCAATAGTCTAGACAGCTCCTCTGACAGGACATACAGTAAGTTATCGGTACGCCATGTTTAACCCTTAATTAACTCACTGATTGATACGTACAGTGAATTATGTCTCATTATACCACGATTTGTACTTACGTTCTCTTGATGTGCGACTTGCATATACAGCTTCTTTTACTTCACCTCTTTTAAGTGGTGTATACATAGATTTTTCTTTTGCTGCAATCAGGTGGAAGGCTATCATGCTGTTTGTATGCACTATTGAAGCTATAATGGGATTATACTAGCTATGCTATTATAGGCTGGAGTTTTGTAACTGGCTCATTAGCTTATGTAAACAGCTAGGCCTAGCTTGATTAGCTTAGTTAAACAAACTGCATTATGGCTATCTGGGTGGGTCACACATTGGTATACACTATAATTATATTATTATATTTTTTGGATGCACCGTGGGTATGATATTAACCGGGACCCACTGTACATCTAAACGTGAGTGATGTTTATATAGCTGCACACCTTCATAGATACCTGGCAGGAAGTCCGTCATAACACTACCAGATCCAGTTCCCATTCCACTGTCTCCAGTCTGATCATCATCCTCTTCCGTCACTCCTGTGGCTGGTGACACAAGTGAATGAATTGCTGCATCAGAAATAATACAGTCCTATCCTCCTCACATTATTATACACAAATGACCATAACACTGAATATATTAATACACATCATTCCAACCTCCTCTCCCTTTACCTAAAATGTGAGTGATGTTTATATAGCTGCATACCTGGCAAGAAGTCTGTCATAAGGTACTGGGCACTACCAGATCCAGTTCCCATTCCACTGTCTCCAGTCCGATCATCATCCTCTTCCGTCACTCCTGTGGCTGGTGACACAAGTGAATGAACAATTTTGGAAGTAGGACACTATTCTACTCTTTAGGTACTCTACACACACAGCTGCACAATGAGGGGTATTATCCTCCACTCTACAGTGGGAAGTCTCAAGGGAAAAACCTTTAGTGAATTGCAGCCGTCTTGAAAGTATTTGCGTGCAGAGCTATGAGGTAATAACTACACATTTACCATTATCTGGGATTTTCTGAACTGTAACATTATACAGGTATGTGAAGTCGGGTGTAACGGCAGCCAAAACCATTTCTGCACAGTCAGGATGAACCCGCAATTGGACCAGAACTGAACTTTCAGCGACGCTCTCAATATACACGCTGTAGGAGTGAACAGACGCATTCTCTGCGATTGCTTCCTTTTGCTGTCGAATTTCGTGAAGTGTACATTCAGAAATTTCCTTTTTGATTTTCATAGCCATTCGAGTAAATCCCCTGCAAATTTCACCATCAGGAAGAGCTGAAATGGCTTTGAGGTAGACATCAACTGTAGTGCTGATTTCGAACTTATATATTGCATCACAATACACTTTAATACTTGTCCTCAATTTAGTGTCCCCATATCTTTTGACGACGTGCACTATTATCTCATAGTTTCGATAGTTACAGTAACGCCCAAGAATGGCAAACAACTTTTGAATATTTATAGCTTGGAGAATTTCATCTTCATTCTTACAAAAAAAATTTACATGGATAGCTTTTTTGGCTACGGGAAAGTTTAGAATAAAATCTTTAAAAATCTGTAAAAATTCCGTATCTTTTTTCTCTTTTGAAGAAAGTAATGCTCGTGTCTCACATGTGATGTGCAAAAACTGGTCTTCAAGATTCTCTATTTCAGACCGAATAAGATCGATGCTCTTCTGGCTTGGACTAACTGGTGGACTGGTTGAAACCACAGCAGTGAAAGGAGTAGGGGCTAGTGGTAGAGTAGGAACAGATGCTTCTACCGCCTTAGCTAGCGCTGATAGGTCGACCACCCGACTATTAAGGGCTTCTATAATCACCCTCCATGTCGGTCTGGGCTCTACTCGGTTGGTAAACTCGATAATAACGTGGAGAAGGCGACTGCGTGGCCTGGAATATGCATCATGGATGGCCTCCACGACGTGTTGTTGCAGTTTCAACTTGAGGCCCAGCTCGTAGGACTTGGTCTGTGCTGGCAGTAGCTTCTCCAACACGTCCACTGCATCGTCTGGTGTTAGCGTGCCGTACACAACAGGGGCTGTAGCTAATAGCGGAAAACACACTCACTTTATATTCATCCACTAGCAAACATGGTTTACCATCAGCCATCAGCAGACAAGACCCTCGTTGTGAACTAGATCGCCCAGACCCGCGGGCCGGCACCTAGAGACTCGGAGAGTGTATGTGAGGCTAGGCACATCCCTTGTGCTGGTAAAGCGCATGCGCAAACTCGTCCTCACCTCTAGCTAGCTAGTTAATACCGTATATACACGTAACCCTCGCTGCGCATGCGCGCCGAGGGTTAATTATGTGCACCAACACTCGTTTTACTTGCATGATTAATCGTTCATTCCTATCTGGGTATGAGTTCACAACAAGGACCTGCCCTTGTAGTCCCATAGCTACCGTTGCAAGTAAGCATCGAAGAATATTGCCTAGAGGTGTATATTATGATAGTGACTTAAGAGAGAAAGGTCAATGTTGGTCTCCAATAGTCTGGATAGCTCCTCTGACAGAAGGTCATGGAGGACCACTCCATGATGACTGTACACCCACTGACCCCCTATGATGTCATACCTCTTTGGACCACTGCAGTATAGAGAGAGAAGACAAACATAATACTGTTGTAATTGCGCCCCACAAAAGGTGGTTCTGACTCTGTGAAAGTATATCATAATGCCCTGTAAGTACCAAACACTGCAATACAACAGCAAACTTAGTCAAAGCAAATCTCAACACATACTTACCTGATTGGAGAGGAAAGCCATATCTGCCTGTTTGGTGTCTGTTTGTTGATCACATACGTACCCAGTCCTCCTATATCCAACACTTGTAAAACAAACTACTTACATCTCCATCATAAGACTCACCACCCAGATTTACTGTCAGAACACCACTCTGTGGACACAGGGATAATATACATATCAGCATGTATTAGAATCATCGCCACAACAGTGGTCAGTAGGGAATGTGAGAGGGAGAGAAGAATAGTTGTAGAGTGGAAAATATTAGAGGCAGGAGATTTCGCGAATTTGCAGGTTTCCGAATGGTCCACAAAAAGGCAAATTGAGGTGGGAGGGGACACTATAGTTCTCTCTATGAATGTTCTTACAGAGAAGAAGGCATCAAAGTCGGAAGAAGTACAGGTCCTTTCTCCCAGGTCCTCAAAGAAGTCAGTCAGTTCGTCCAGAGTTTCATCAGCCAGTCGGTGATATGTCAACTCATCTCCCCTGCTTAAACATACAGCAAAAGTGCTTGAGGGCTTCTAAAGTGTGAATTTTATAGGCAAGCTGACACAGTAAATGGGGTGTTTTCCATACCAGAAGCCATGGGACATAGGCCAAACCATTGTAACTTGTGAAGACATATTGTATCAGGCACCACTCTTCCCCCCCTCAGGTGAAGACATTATTGTATCAGGCACCAAACTTAGGTTCCCTCCCTTTACTCCCCTCTCTCTCACCCTCAGGTGAAGTCGAAGGACCAGGAATTGACAGCATCCCCACACCTGGTGGACTATTTCACTTCTCAAGACGTTCCTCTGGTCATCGGGAAGAGCCAAGTCTTCCTCAGACGACCTGTCGTTAATGCATACCCCACAGGGGGCAGTGGGCGTGGTCAATGACATCACCCCACTGTCTCTGTGTGATCCGTTGGTCTCCATTTGTTGTGTCTTCGTTTTTTACCTTATTGTCGATCTGTTTTTATTTTACTGTTAACCATTATCATTGTGTCGTTTGTTCTTATGATCTTTATATATACATGCCAATTTGGTAGGACTAACTTTTAGCACATAAATTTTAAGCCCGATGGCCAAACAGCGAGGTAGTTGGCTTGCTTTGCCCTTGGACTTTTGTATAGTACAATCCATACACAGTGTGGCTACCAATCACTTGCTACAGAGTCAAAATCTTTGAAAAGTTCACCATAATCCTTGAGAGGGCCTAAGAGTAGAGAGAGAGAGATGATAAGAGCTTGATCGAGAGATTGGAAGGAGGAGGAAGACATACTCTCATCTGGAGGGGTTAACTGTGGGTTTTCAGCAGTAAACTCCTCCTCAAAGTAGTCTGTACTTGTCTGTGACAAGATGAAGGGGACTAAAGGAGGAGTGATCTTCTTGTTGTAGACATCGTCCCAGTTGATGGACTCGAAGAACACGTGAGACTTGACCTCCTCTGCATCTCCCTCTCCTCCACCCAGTCTGTAAACAAACCTCAGTTAGTAACCTCTTCCTTCTATGTCTGAAACCAACCTTTTGCTCGGGTCTTTC